TATTATTACATTACTGTTTACAGACACGGTCGAAACCAGGTTTCGATTATCGTTATGCAGTCGGAGTGGATGCCCTCCGAGGTTAATTCACCCCATTTATTCCCCAGGCTGCAAGCATTTGTGCTGAACACCCGCAGGCTACATCTGTGACTAATGATGGGAACTTGGAGGTAGCACTCGGGCTCTAGTCCCGAGATCGTCCTGCGTTTTTTGCAACGGAGAATTTACGGGGTACGATAAGTGTTTCTCGCCTGGGTCTGCGTTTTAGATTGGGCGGCTGCGGGTGGGCTGGGGTGTGTTACCCGGGCCGGCTACAACCGCAGTGGGTGTTTCTTTTGTCACCTTTGCTACCAACTTAGGTAGTCGCAGAGAAGATAACATCATGGGCGTTACATTCGGAAGCAGTTTCTCTAATCGATCCCTCGAGCATTATCTGGTTCTACGGATGTTGCCCCATTGGCCTCTGCCCTCAGTTGGGCAGAGGCTGCGAAGAAGAAATCACGGTGACGTGGGTTGCTGAACTCACGAGCAATGGTCTCCAGTTAATTCGAAGGACATTTTAGTCCAAGTAGCACCGACACCATTTGAGCGCAAATGCCCAAACGGGGTTCCTAAACCTTAAGTGAAATAAAAATAATGATTCTGATTTGGCTCTGAAGCATCCGAACAGATTCGTCGAGGACAAGTTTTATGGGAAGCGGACCGCACTTACTGTGAGAGAGGAATTTTCGCACAAAGTGAGTTATGTTATTACAAGGGGCGTTTTGGAGGAAGTCGATGAACTGACGCACTGGTGATTCAGGTTGTGGTGATGACCAAAATGTCTGGTCAATTGAGATTATGTATCGATCCGAAACCAATAAACAAGGTATTAATACGGGAATATTTCACTCTACCAATTTTTGACGATTTACTTCCACAATTAACTAATGCACGATACCTCACAAAGGTGGATTTAGCCTCTGCATTTTGGCATTTAAGTTAGACGATAGATCAACCTACTTAACCACTTTTGGCATGCCACTCGGGCGATATCGTTAGAAGAGACTACCGTTCGGTTATAAAGTATCAAGTAAATGTTTTCAGAAACGAATTCTCGAAGCGGTAGCTGATTTACTCGGTGTTTTGTACGTGGCGGACGACATTCTAATTTTTGGCAAAATGCAGATGAACACAACAGACGGTTTGAAGGCTTTTTACAGCGTTGTATACGAGATGAAATCAAGCTGAAACAGGACAAACTAATCTTTTATCAATCGGAAGTCAGCTTTCGCGGTCGCATACTGACAAGTGAAGGGATCAAACCGGACCCGTAAAAGGTAAAAGCGATTGTAGAAATGCCTTCCCAACCGATGCAAAAGGCGTATCATTATTCAATGGAATGATAAACTATCTCAGTAGATTTCTTCCAGAACTATCGGAATTGATGCGGCCGATTCGACGTTTGATGCATAAAGGAGAACCGTTTGTTTGGACACAAGAATATCAGACCGCTTTTGATCGCATCAAGCAACTTATTGTAAAAGCCCCAGTGCTGGCCTACTTCTATCCCAATGCAACTCTTTGCATACAATTTGACAGCAGTCAAAGTGGCTTGGGCGCCTTGCTCCTTCAAAATTGCCGTCCAATAGATTACCGGAGTAGGACACTAACGGCCTGTGAACAAAGGTACGCCCAGATCGAGAAAGAAATGCTAGCAATTGTGTATGCTCTGGAGAAATTCAGTGATTACACATTTGGTCGACTCACGTATGTATACTCAACTCACGAACCACTGATCATGATTGTGGATAAGCCACTCCACAGAGCACCAAGGAGGTTACAATCGGTGCTAATACGTCTACAGAAATACAATTATGAACTGCGTTACGAACAAGGTAAACGCATGTTTGTGGCGGACACGTTGTCACGAGCCACACTACCCGACACAGGACAGGAAAAAAGCTGGAATCCGTGAACGTTGCATTGGTGGTGACGCAGTGCAAGATGTCTCACATACAAACTGCATCTATTGACGATCCGAGCATGAAAGAACTCAAAGGAGTTATCACTCGTGGTTGGCCAGAATGCAAAACAGCCTTTCCGATAGACGTACTGCCCTACTTTCAATTCCGAGGTGAACTAACTGTGTACGATGAACTGATTTTTCTTGGTGGAAGGTTGGTCGTATCAAAAGCGATTCAACAAAACGTTTTGCGTGTGATACGCTGCTCTCACGCCGGTACCAACGGATGCCTCAGCCGCGCCAGGGAGACATATTATTGGCTGGGTATGTCAGAACAGATAAAACAGTTGATTGCTAAATGTAAAATATGCAGGAAGTTTGACCAGCGAAAAACGAAGGAACTCATGAATATGCGTGCAACACCAGAGAGACCATGGTAGATGATAGCGCTGGATATTTTTTATCACGGAAAGGACACCTACTTCATTACTGTTGACTACTACAGTGACATTTTTGAAGTTGATTTACTGAAATCCAGCACATTGGCGGAGATGATTGATAAA